AAAAAAGGGCCCCCCGGGGGGTTTTTTTGGGGGGGATATTTATAAGCGGGGGTGGGGGGCCCCCCGAAGAGGGGGGGGGAAAAACCTAAAAAAAAAAGTTTAAACCCCTTTTTTTCTTCCCCCCCCGGTTTTTCCTCCCCCCCCCCCCCCCCCCCCCCCTCTTTTTTTCCCCTTTTTTCCCCCGGGGGCCCCCCTTTTTGGGGGGGGACCCCCCGATTTTTGTGGTTTTTTGGCCCCCTGGCCCCGTGGGGATTTCCCCCCCCCCCCCCCCCCCCCCGCCGCAGTTGCTGCTGCGGCTGCTGCTGCTGAGCTCCCCCTCCCCTCCCAGCAGCTCCCCCTATCGCCCCGCCGTCGCTCCTTGCGTCGACCACGATGCCTCCAGCGCCGCCGTTCGCACGGTTTGGGACCAGCCAGCTGATTACGTTGCGGGCGTCGTGGCCTTCCTTTTCGAGCAAGCGCTGGACCGAGCCCGGGCGCTTCTTCGGCGTACCGGAAGGGGGGGTCGGCACGGGGGGAGGAGGAGGCATGGTGTCGCTGCTGTTGCGACTGCGGCTGTTGACGCCGACGCCATCGGCCGAGGGCGAGGGCGATGGGGGTTCCTGTTGCTGCTGTTTTTGCTGCTGCTGCTGCTGCTGCTGCTGCTGCTGTTGATGCTGCTGTTGCTGCGGCTGCTCCACCTGCTGTGGTTGTCTCCCCTCTCGGCTGACTGCTATTGATTCCGACTCTGAGAGTCCTTCCTCTGGAGTGCCGCCGTGAGCCGGGGCGGTCTCTTCCGCTACCGCTACCGCTGTCGCCCCCGCGACAGCAGCCGCAGCAGCAGCCGCCTGTTCGCTCATTATTTCTCTTTCGGCTTTGCGGAAAGCCGGGTCGGGGGGTCGTGGAAACAAAGAGACAAAAGGGATGGGATACATAAGGTCCTCCAGATATGGCATTAACCGTGTTGGCGTTGGCTTAACGATGAAGGACACGCCATGTAGAAAATAAACAACAATACTACACATACATAGTCTACTGCATTGGCCTCCACGACATAAACTCTGCTGCTATCATGTTGTGGTAAAGTGCGGTCTTCCCTATATACTGTACATAGTGTAGATTAATCTTTTTCAGGGGCAGTTTTTTTTCGTACACCCGCACTCGCTGCGTGCGTCGAAAAACTTAACGCTGTACATTTGCAGATGTAGTACATAACCACGCTTGCACTGCGGCGGTGGACCGACTGCTTTGTAACACACCAGGCAGTTTGTTCAGGATATGTACTGCTGTACGCTCAACAGCCTGATGTCATGTATGTATATTCGTGGGAGGATAATACCTCGAACTATGCATCATCGGTGGGAGGACGTTTTTCGACACACGCAAGTGCGCGTTTCCGGCCGGTCCTATCGATTGTCAACGGGCAAAAGAAGGGGGATGTTCTGCACTCTGTGGGCTGAGTGAAACATCATCACGCAGATCCTGCAGATCTTTCGTACAAGGCGGTAGAGGGGGGCAAACGGAATTTGCGCAGCTGAGTTTTGCGGTGCATCAACGCATATCTAAGAAATCTAGCCACCGTTCCTTTCACCCCCTACAGAGAGAGAGAGAGAGAGAGAGAGAGAGAGAGAGAGAGAGAGAGAGAGAGAGAGAGGTGTCATCCACCACGCACAATCAAGCTCACCTTGTCTCGCATGACGACCATAAAAACCGACGTGCGTGTTAGTGTCGTGTAGTACTGTCAGCGGTGCCTGGCAAGTTGCACCCCGGGGTACCCGATTTCGCGAGACGGTGCCCCCCGCTTGCTACTTGTGACATCCAGCCGCCTCGTTGCTGTTGCACACTGCCAACAGCCACCGCACGCACCAACACGCACGCCGCAGGCGTGGTTCGCTCTGTCTCTCTTCTGCGCCCGGGCACCTATCTTCAGCATGGGCAGAGGTGTGATTGTGGAGTTGTGTGGAGATTCCGATAAAATAATACGTTAGGCCCTCCATGTGGCACGCACCGCTGCATGACTCCATATTAGATTCTGCTGGCCCTCACGGAGAGACGCATTGACGTGTGGTATCACCATCATATATATATATATAGCACACTGCTGTGCTGCATATCTACACCTGTCAATAAAGACTAGTCTATAGCCAGCATCAAAAATCCACAGAGGCATGTGCATTGCCAAAGGATTTCGTCGGGAACCAGTTTATTTTCGAAATGTAGAACTCTGAAACGTTCCAGTTGAACACAACGCAGTGTTCCGACATCGGACATGCACACAGTCGTGGTCCCGGTTTAGCGGTTCCCTGTTTAGCGGTATGCCCTGAATAGCGGTCCCAAAATCTCGTGGCAAGGCTGCACCTCGGTAGTGAAACTATGGTACAATATAACTGCCAATCCGGTTCAGCGGCGATGCTCTCAATAGCGGTTTTTACATTCTGTGACACGATGGACCGCTAAACCGGGACCACGACTATATGCATACTGCTGCACCCACATTTGATTCACGAACAACTGAGAGTTAGAGTGCCGCATCCGTGCTCCAAATGCATACGAAGGAGAGGAGGGAAGGGAGAGAAAATGTGTGCATGTAGCAGTCGCGGCCCAACCGGCGTTTTTACATTTTTTCTCCGACAGCACTACCGCTGCATGATGTGTGTTGGTTCATCTTGATTGAATTGATTGATCGTGCGGCGGCAGCAGGCACGGGCAGGGACGGGCAGCGGTTCCACGTGACGCCGCGGGATGAGGCCTCTCAGAGAGTTATCGGAGCGCTTCAAAACGTGTACAGGTGTGTCTGTCCAGGGGGGGGGGCACGAAGATGGGCAGCAGACAAACCATCTTGAACGCAGGGGGGGCGTCAACTTGACTGCTCGGAGGATTTCCAAAACCAAAACGTCGTTCCATCGCATCGGTGTTCTATACCAGCCGTACGCAGGCTTTCCAAAACGGACAGCACGCGCGTAGTTGTTCGCGGACGCCATTAGCAAGTTGCTGACGTTAGAAGTTTGGCTCTTGAGTTGGTGCATCTGGACACGTGCACGTAGCCCATGCCAGAGAGTGCGAAAATATCACGACAACAGAGAAAATCAATGACGGCGCCGAAAACGGCGAAATTGAAACCGTTCCGTCGAGAGCTCTCCGAAAGCGTATCCTTTGTTTTGGGCATCCTCTTCGTCGTGGAGCAATCGAGCTTTGAAAATCGGTCCAGGGGGTGTGCTATCTTGCGCAACCTGCGGTATTCAAGTACTTCCTCCCAGGTTCCAGCGGTCACAACCCAGCCCCAGACAAACTCACAATGCCGTTCGAGAGGGTCCGACCATGCAAAGCAGCGGAAACCTAAGTACCACAACCCCGGGAACATGCTACCTACACTTGCTGCGCCGGACGGAGCAGCATACCCCCAAACACATGTCGTACTTTTTCACCAGCGGCTCTCTTCCGTCCGCCCTAACACCCAACCAATGACGGTTACGGGTATAACGAATGCCTCCCTCGAGCCCGGTGGACGAAACCCCGACGACATGCTCCTTCCCGTTTCTTTAGACTGCAGGGCCGTGGAGGTTGTGTTTGGTACTTGGGTACGATATCCGATCTGGGAAGTACGTGTGTGGGGGGGGGTATGCTGTTGGGGGTCCAAGTTCGCCCCCCCCCGAGAGAAACCATGTGTTGAGTTATTCTTGTTCTGGAAGGAGTACGGCGGTTCATGTTGATCAACAGAGGTTATGCCATCATCGTTGACTGTGCGGGAAGGCGCGGAGTTGCACCAACAAAGGTCTCACGCGCGTGCGGCCGCCGACACATGTTAGCGGCGGTTTGCGGCTGGCCAAACCTCCCGCGAGGCTGGTTGGCGAGAACGATGGCATCCCCCATTCCGGCTTCGTCCAGGGATGCGAGGGTCGGCCTCTCTGCAGACCATGCCAAACGGATCAGAATTCACGGCGATTTTCGAGCAGTGTAGCTTGGTAGGCGAGAGCCATAGGTCCCTTTAGGATGCCAGGGTCCATCTGGCCTGAAACACCGCACGCGGCCATTCGCGGTGATGAGGACACCCCCCGCCAGCTGGTCGTTTTTCTCGTTGGATGTTTCCAAAAGTGGCGACTTTTTTTGTTTGTGAGAGCCACAGGGTGCGAGATAACGCGTAAACGATCGAGGACACCGGTGTAAAGAGGTCGATATGTCGGAAGACCTTGTCTGCGAGGGGGAATGTTTGCAGCCCGACAGATTTATTTTCCCTTGCCATGTCCGTACATACGTTCGATTCCATCAACCGCAGGTCGTGTCCTATTCGTTCATTATCGATCGATCGGGGTTAGAGGGTAACGACCACATCTTCGCTTTCGTGCATATACCGTCGCGCATGATTGTTCTTCCGTGGTTTTCCCAAGGAAAAAGCTCCGCCTGGTGGAAGAGGCGTTCTTCTTCGGGCAGTTTCACTACGACGCCATCACTGACACGGAGCTAGAAGCCAAGAGCCAGGTCCTGGTGATCGGGCAGTACTCCACGGGAAAGACCACGGTACGGTTACAGACTACGGTATACGGCATAACGGAGTGCAGCTGTTGTTTGGGCACGACACTGTCGAAGCCAAAATGCTAAGGCTGTGAAAACCAGCAAGTAACTCATGGCAAGTACCACGTTTAGTGTTGGTGATGGTGGAGGTGGGATCGTTTTTCGCGGGAATAGCCGTGGTAAGGGAGTGCGGCAGGACACACGGTGAGGTGTTCTCGGCCCCGGCGTTGCGGGCAGGCGAGAGAGGCTAGTCTGAGGGCTACTACCGCCGCGTGTGGTCACCCAGCACATACGCACGCTCACACTCACAGAGACGCCGTATGGGCCTTGAGGGAGATGTAACATCTGCCGTCGGGATACGAGCGCAGTCCACGCGGAAGGTTTGCGTACAGCAGAGAACAGTAGTTTGGATGCTCGTTTTCCTTTGCCGTCACCTGCTGTTCCCTTCCTGCTTCTCGTGTTGTGTCTCATGTCCTCTGATGCTCACCTCTAACCTCTAGTCTGTACTCGCGTTTACCGTCGGGCTGATTCGCTTGTTCGTTTTTTCTATTTGGGGGGGCATTGCTTGGGCAGTTCATCCGCCACTTGCTCGGAGCCGACTTCCCGAACATGAACGTTGGTCCCGGTGAGTTGAGAGGAGAACCCCCTCGTGTCGTCTTTGTGGTTGTTGTCGTTACTGCTGTTGCTGTTATTGATTTTCAAGCGGACGATATTCCCGAGGTGGAAAGGGGTGATAATACATCAAACTTACGAAATAAGTCAGAACCTCGTACTTGCGAAAAATATTTCAGAACGCCTCTAACAGGTCTCCGCTTGGCCGCATTTTTTTATTTCACTTTGTCGTAAAAAAAATATTTTTTGGTGGGGGAACTGATCTCAGAGCCGACAACGGACAAGTTTACGGTGGTGATTCATGGCCAGGAAGACCGCCCGGTGGAGGGAAACATCCTCGCGGTCGTCAAGGAACTCCCGTACGAGGGGCTGAGTCGATTCGGACCCGGGTGAGATATTGTTGCCTTTTTTTCTGGCGTTGTGGTGTTGTGGTTTTGATTTCTACTCAAGTCTACAGTGGCGGCTACGGTTTAAGAGAGGGTCGTGACAAGCCAGTATTTCTCTCTTGAATCCGGTTTTCTCTCAGACCGACCGTACTGCTGTGAAATGTATGTATTTCTCATGGTCGTGACAAGTCAGTTTGACTATCTTAAATCGGTACTTTGTCTTAAATAGTCTCTCTTAAACCGTAGCCGCCAGTGTTGGAAACTTCAGGAAAGGATTGGTACACCTCTGGTTGTACACTCATAGAGCTGGTGGGGGCGTGCAAGAGTTAGATCTGAGTCAATTTCGCGACGATAATATAATCGTCTCGAGCGTGCGTGTGTTCGTCAAGAAAAGGAATGAAAACGAGGTTTTCACAGCAGCACCGAAAAGAATGGTCGCACCGCCGCAGCAACCGCAGCATCAGCAGCAGTGGCAGCAACCACAGCAACAACCACAACAGCTGCAAACGCAGCAACAGCAGCAGCAACAACAGCAACCACGGCAACACCCAACGGCTTACACACCTACCCTTGTGTACCCTCGTCGCGCAGACTCCTGGACAAGCTTGATGCTGCCATCTCTACCTCTCCGTTTCTGGAGAACATAACCCTGGTGGACACGCCGGGAGTCCTCTCCGGGGAGATGCAGATGCACCAGCGGGCATACAGCTTCGCTGACGTGAGTGTTCAAGGTTTTGGTTCTCCCGCGTTCCCCGTTTTACAGCAGTCGGTCACCGCTTGACTCAATTCTCTCTTCTCTTTGTCTTGTGACTGTCGTGCAACGTACTTTTTGCCCGTTCCTAGCAAAGATGTTTTATCGTTCCTCGGTGTACGCAATATACAAGCATGGTTTATCGTATTCCGAAGCGTTTCTAAATTTATGCATCTCTGGGACGTCCCAATTGTCCCTGTAAGTGCCGATTTACCACGAGAGCCGAGATGTTATTGGCTCTTTTTTTTTTTTAGTTTTTTGCGTTGATAACAAGAGGAACCAGTTGTTTTTTGTTCTCCCTCTTGTTGATGGATTCTGTGGTGGCCACGAGCAGGTGTCTCGGTGGTTCGGCGATCGGTCCGACCTCATCCTCGTCCTGTTTGACGCCCACCGCTTGGACGTCAGCGATGAACTTATGGAGGTACGCACACGGTGGTATGAATGCCTACCAACAGGTTTAGGACATCCATCTGTGGGTGGCTAAAGCTTGGCCTTCCTCTCTCGCGTTTGAATCGTGCGTATGTGCTGCAACAGTCAGGCACACAAGCATCGGCACGTCATTTCCAGCAAAATCCGAGCTGTCATGTTTGTAGGAAACATTGTGGTACCGCCATTATGTCCGTAGCGACCTACTGGTACATGGCAGTATCTCAAAGGGTGAACGGATTGACCCATAGCCGAGTGAGTTGCCGTTCGATTCTCTCTGTCATGAGGAGTTTTTTTTTCTCAGATTTGTTTTTTTCCCGGCGTCACGAACTTCGAAGCCATTCGTTTTGGCCTCGTCTTTGCCAGGTATCTATCTCATTTACTGTGTTGTGGTCCAGGCGACTGTTTGCCACGTTCCCAGTTGATTTCAATTCTGTCGGCCACCGCCTTTCAACGACGGCATTTCGAGAGTACCGTAGGTTGCGCAAGATAACACACCCCCTGGACCGAATTCCAAAGCTCGATTACTCCAGCAGACGAAGCGGCGGTGCCGGAAATGGCGGCATTGGAACTGTCTCGTCGAGAGATTTCCGAAAACGCATCATTTGATTTCGGCATCGTCTTGGTCGTGGAACAATAGAGGTTTGAAAGTCGGCCCAGAGGGTGTGGTATCTTATGCAACCTACGGCAAGCCTGTGTCTTTCTCGTCATTGGGGTGGTCCGGAAACGTGTCGGTCGACTCGGATTTCAGCGACGAGCTCACCATATGTGCGTATTCTGTAGTATATTTTTCCTTTTCAGGCGCACATGTGTCGACGAGGTTTTGTGCCATGTTTCTTCTTTTCGCCGGTTTTGGCGAGGGAGGCAACATGCGTTCTCATCTCCACACTTGTTTTTGTTTGCGCTCTTTGAAACTACTCATATTGTTTTGAGACGACTGTGGACGAGAGACATGCCAACAGTGATAAAAAACCACGCTATGTTGATTGAAGACGACTGTGGACTGTGGACGAGAGATGTGCCGGCAGTGATGAAAAAACACGCTATTTTGATAAAAACCGAAGGCCACGCTCTTTTGTTTGCCTCTTCGTCCTCAATTTCTTGGTTCAGATTCTGATGCGGCTCAAGGACCACCAGAGTTCCATCAGGATAGTTCTCAACAAGGCGGACCAAGTCGACAAGGCCGAGCTCCGGAGGGTAAGCTACTCCCCGGCCCAATGTTTCTTGTAATATTGTGTTTGTTCGTTCTTCCAATTCTTCTGGGTTGTTTGTCTTCTCTTCTCTTTTGTCAGGGCTATTGGCGTGTTGTTGCCTGTGTGGTCTCTGTTCTCAGAGAGCACACAGGCAGAACAGAGAACACACAGGCAACAACACATGAACAGCCTGAGAGAAGATGAGAGAATCAAAGTACCCAAAGAATATTGTTCCTCCAAGTGTTCTAGGTACTTTTGTTCCCGTCATGTTGTTCCTCCTCCAATTTGTTCTGGGTACTTTTGTTCCCGTCATGTTGTTCCTCCTCCAATTCCTCAGGGTAGTTTGTTTTATAGGTAATAGGCTACTCCCCGGCCCACTGTTTCTTGCAATCTTTTGTTTGTTCTTTCCTCCAATTCTTCCAGGTTCTTTTTTTTCTCTTGTCTTTTCTCGTGGCTGTTGCTGTATTGTTGCCTGTGTCTCCCTGTACAGAGAGTTGACAGGCAACAGCACACCAACGGCCCCGAGAGAAGAGAAGACAATAAATCTACCCAGAAAAATTGGAGGAACAACATACACAGAGAGTACACAGGCATCAATACTTGAACAGGCCCGAGAGGAGAGACGAGAACAAAACTACTCAGAATAATTGACGTTGTTCCTCCTAATTATTCTGGGGAGTTGTGTTTTCTTCTCTTCTTTCGGAGCTGTTGGCTGTGTTGTTCCTCCAATTAATCAAGGTAGTTGCGTTCTCTTGTCTTCTCTCGGGGCTGTTGTGTGTATTGTTGCCTGTTAGCTCTCGCTGAACAATGATGCCCTTTGGCCCGTCGTTTGTCTGTTTAAAGGGACGGGTGCTTTTGTTTCTGTTGGCCGGTCCTTTCGGGTGTAGGTGTGCAACGTCTTGGCGTGTACTGTAGAGAGTGAGAGGTCACGGAGTACTTTGTGTTCGACAACAATTGTGAGGAGCTCTCGCGTGCAGATAAATGCCCACTTGCTGCTACGCTGCTGTTGCTTCGCCGACTGTGAGGTGTGCTTGGACGCGGCACTTTTTGATCCACTCTGCGTGTGACACGCGCGAGGTTCGCTACACACTATGCGTACGTTTCTTTGCCTTCCTTCCTGATATCTCCTGTATGTTCCGTCCCCAAAACTGAAAATATGAAAACACCCAAAACTGAAAATAAAGATTGCGTCCCGAAAACTGAAAATTAGAAAGCACCCAGCACTGAAAATAAATCTTGCGTCCGCAAACCTGAAATTAGAAATAACATTGCCCATAACACGAACGAAACACACCCAACCCGTCTTTATTTGGACCGCATCAAGATAAGAAAACGCTGGGGGATACTGGAAAAAATGTATAAGCTTCTGTCCCTGTTTTCGTCGTCGTTGTTTTCCCATATTTTTCCGTCTCCGTCCCGTTGCTCTCAGGTATACGGGGCCTTGATGTGGTCGTTGGGCAAGGTCTTTGACAACCCGGAGGTGGTTCGAGTATACATCGGGAGCTTCTGGGACCAACCTCTAAAGCACACCGTGAGTCGAGATTGTTGATCGGCATTCATCCGGCGACAAAAGGTTCACTTCGCATACCGTAGGTTGTGTTAAGATATCACACCCCCTGGACCGATTTTCAAAGCTCGATTACTCCACGACGAAGAGGATACCAAAATCAAAGGACATGTTTTCGGAAACTCTCGACGAGATGGTTCCAACGCCGCCAATTTCAGTACCGTCACTGCTTTTATGCCGAGAAATCGAGCTTCGAAAATCGGCCTAGGGGGTGCGATATCTTATGCAACCTACGGTAATCCACGTGCTGGCGTGCACCGGACGTCTCTTTGCCTCTCTGTCTCAATCTGTCCTTCTCCCTTGAATTTTTGGAGTCATCGAGCCCTTGACCAACTGAATGCTCACGTTGAAACCACCTCCGCTCTGTGGGTTGCCGTTCCTTCTACATACCAGAGCTGTAGGATGAGTGGTTCGGTGGCCGTAAAAAAACGCCATCGCCCCTCCGCTCTGGAGTCTACCGGGACTAGCGTGTCATGTCGATCTTGGTTGGCGCTGCTCAATCAAAAAGAACCCCGCGCACTACTGTATTAGGCTGTGTTTGAGAGATTGGTGTTGGTTGTCCCCGCACGCACGGAGGTACCAGAGCTTAGGCGAGCCTTGCGCAGTCACGCAAGAAAAGGGTGTTATTCTTTCAAAGCGGTGTGGCGCGTGGGGATTGTTGTTTTTTGCTGCTCTCCGCGCATGGAAAGCGGTTCTGATCCCTGCCCGGTCGCTCCTCGCTCGTTTTCTTCAAAGGAGAGACACGAATTCCCGTGGCCTCAAGGTGCTCCAACATCAGGTGGTTCAGATGCTAAAATAATGCGCGTTCCCACCGTTCCAGTGCCTTCCTTTCCCCTTTACTCTGATTCATCTGACCCTGTCATCGTCGTCGTCGTTTTTGGTGTTTTGGTTGTTGTTGTTCATTGTTGTCGCTGTTGTTATCGGCGTCGTGTTTTTCGACCAGGCTTATGATCGGCTCTCCAAAGACCCAATCAGGAATCGCTATCGTCGTCCTCGTTGTTGTTGTTGTTGTTGTCGCTGTTGCTGTCGGCGTCGTGTTTTTTCGACCAGGCGCATGAGAAGCTCTTCGAGGCCGACCAGGAATCGCTAACCCGGGAGCTAACAGATCTACCCCGGCTGTCAGCCACCCGCAAGATAAACCAGCTCATCAAGCGGGCTAACTCGGTCCGGGCTCACGCGTGTGTGCTGAGGTAAGCAATGTCTGGGCTGAGGGGTGCGTCGGCAAGATGGGCGACCTTCTAGCAACCCTTTTTAACCATTCGCACGGTAATCAAAGACGATCTTGGTCCCCAACGCGCGGGTAGTTCCAAGGGCTCGGGCGGATGCACACCTTGTAGGATGGGATTGTCCTCCGTTGCTGGGTGGGATCGTTTCGATCGAGAATGGCCGAATGCCAGCTAGTCGGGCAGCCACTATCCTCAATCCATGTGCGTCTCACCCCTATCCACAGGACCCCCCTGCTTCCTCCTCCTTCCCCGCAAAAGAACGGGAAGAAAGTACCGTAGGTTGCGAAAGACACAACACCCCCTGGACCGATTTTCAAGCTCGATTACTCTATGACGAAGAGGATGCCGAAATCGAACTATACGTTTTCGGAAAGCTCTCGACGAGACGATTCCAACGCTGCCATTTTCGGCACCGTCACTGCTTTTCTTGCCGAGATATCGAGCTTCGAAAATCGGTCCAGGGGGTATGATATCTTATGCAACCTATACGGTATATCACGGAGGGTGGTGGCCTTCCTTCCCGAGATTGCCGGTGGTGGCACCATAGTGCTGTGGGTAACGCTTGTTTTGGGAGGTGTGCGTGTACCCTGTGCTTGTGATCAACTTCGTTGTTTGCCACCGGGTGGTTGCCAGGGGGGCACCGCGGTGATATACGGCACAATCCCCAGCAGGGGGGTGTGGCATCGTCGACCGGGCGATGAAACGGCAACCCGCGTAACATCCCCGTAAATTGTCGCCAGGTGTGGTCTTGTTTCGCGGTATACCGCCGAAACGGTGCTCCTTCGTCTCGGGAAGAGCTGTGCGGGTCCATGGTCAAACAACAAACGGGATGAGTGCGCCCTCCCCCCCTTGTCCGTGAATCGTGTGCTGTTACCCGACTGACTTCCCCGCACAGCTATCTGAGGGAACAAACGCCGTGGATGTACGGTAGGGCCCGGCGACGGGAGGACCTACTGGAGAACATGGAAGGCGTGTTGGAAACGGTATGGAAGAAAGATCCGGGAATGCATTTTTTTACGCTTGGTAAACAAAGATCCGGGAATACAGTTTGTTTATGCATACGTTTGGTTGCGGACGACGATTTTGTACGAGTAGAAACAGTGATAAGTAGCAATACAAAGCAGTCAATGTAGTCAAGTTACCCTCCCCCGAAGCCAAGGTGGTACACATCACATTTTTTTTTTTCTGTGTCGTGGAAGCGGAACGGAGCTTTTGATGTGGATGGCCTGTCGCGTTGACCCCTTGCCGGAAACTCGTACTTCAATAACGAGGCAACACGTTGCTGGACTTTTTTTAGTTGTCCCTTCCATCTGTTGCGCTCCCTTGCATTTACTTCATCTTGGCCAACGATTTCTCCTGCGTCTTGTTGGCCTCAACCACCATAACCTTTAAGGTCCGTCCTAATGAGAGATTCGTTGGATTTTCCCCGCGGATGTTGGACCACTCAGTTTCCAACGGCGTGCTATTTCCGATGTTGTGCGACACGCTCACAGCAGGCTTATGTTGCCTGCTTTCTCCTTGTCCAACGTTTACTACTCGATGCCGTGTGGTGTGATACACAACCTGCAGGTCAGAGCTAAGCACGGTCTGCACGAGGCGGACATGCCGGATGCGGACGCACTGAGGGCCAACCTTCAGAGCTTCGATTTCGCCAGTTTTCCGATACTCACGCCCGCCGCGCTCCGGCAGCTGAGGCATGTCGTCGACGTCGATATTCACCAGGTGTTGTTGGTTGTCGTTTCCGTTGTTGTTGTTGTTGTTGTTGTTGGTGGTGGTGGTGGTGGTGTTATTGTTATTTTTGGTGTTGTTGCTGTTGTTGCTGTTCGTGGTGGCGGCATGTTGGTTATGGTAGAGCGGTGGTTTTGTTGGTTGATGGAATGTACCAGGAAATCTGAACACGACAAGAAACCTCGTACTGCACCCACGCAGTGGAGGTCGAAACGACACTCCCTTGATAGCAGTACACAACCCCCATGACGCCAATAACAGCTCCAAGTACATCAACAACAACGGCGGAGACCGCCGCAGCAGCAACAGCAAGCATCCTCTTCGATCGAATGCCATCATGTTTGCCTAAACATGACCTAGGGATTGTCTGTTGTGTCTCTCTCTCGGTGTTCCGTTGTGTTGTCACTGGTTGTCTCCATCCTCTTACCCCCTTGGTGCAGGTTCTGCAAGAGGGGGGCGGATCGGCGAAGATCTTCAAGTTCTCCAACAAGCGAGGCCGTCCACAGCGAGCGGGTGAGGTTCGTCAACGATTTTAAGTAGTTCGGTTTGTCAACAACCATCGATTTTCTTGTGCCTGATACACCATCTTTGTTGCATCCGCGTCTTGAGCTCGACTGGTTGTCGGCGCTCCGATGGTGCGATGGCACCTTTCGCTATGGCACGCACACGTACAGGTACGTGCGTAGCAAAATGCCGAAGCGCATTCTCGCGGGCACACAGCTAAATTTATACGCGTAAAACCCCTCCTTCGATATGTAAGGCGTGCCTCTTTTGTCCGGTCCTGTTCCCTATTGACGGTGCTTTGCCTCCGGTGGGCTGGCTGACTGTACAGATCCTTCGCTCATCACACACCCCGCATCTCACGGGTGGTGTCGACTGGTCTAGCGTTTGTCTCGATCCTTGCAGCTCTCGTGTGTAGAATACAATGCTATTATCGTCCCGCACGGCGATATTACTTGATGAGCATGATATCGACCTATATTATCGAATCTTTAGTGCTGGCACTGGATGTTCGCTGCTGTTTTGCTATTACCTCGACAACCGGCTGTTCCGTACTGCCCCGTTCCGCAATGCCATTCCGGACCGTAATCGCATCCGCGACAGCGTCGTACCGCGCTCCATCCCTACGAGTTTAGCAGACCATAACTCCTGTTGACACCCCTTCTTGTTTTACCAGTATAGTAGACTCTTATCCTCTTGATACACTGCTGTTCGTGAATCTCACGAGTGTGGAGGGGAGGTGTGAGTGTATATGTGGCGAGGGTGGGAGGAGGCGCGAATTTCCGATAACTTATGCGAAATGTGACGAACACTATCCAATCGATTCGAGAACAGGTACTACGAAGCTCGGAGAAAAACTACCTCTTTCTCCTCAACATCACCACAACTCAAGAACGCTTGAGTACAACCACGACCCCCCTCGCGACCCTACTCCCGCGTAACCCCCTCCACGCACTCCTCAACAGGCATGCTTTCCCGGGTAGGTTCCTCGATACGACAGCTGCTAGGGGGCGGCGCGGAAAGCGACAACACGGACAGCAGCAGCGGTAGGGGGTCGCCGCCACTGCCCGCGGCGGCCCCCCTCCGGCCCCCGGCTTCCCCCCACCTCTCCTCTGAGGGTATTTCTGCTGCCGGCGTCGCTGTAACGGCGACAAGCGCAGCACCGGTAACAGCAGCACCAACACCAGCATCAACACCAGCAGCGCCAGCACCACCAGCACCAACGGCAGCAGCACCAACACCACCAGCATCAGCAGCACCAGCAGCAGCATCACCAGCACCAGCACCAGCACCAGCACCAGCATCACCAGCACCAGCACCAGCACCAGCAGCACCCGCAGCAGCAGCAGCACCCGCAGCAGCATCTCCATCATCGCGGGACGATAGTGGCACGACCCGGGTCTCCGAGGAGTCGCCGGAGAAGTTCGAGGAGATCTGGACGGCGGTGAGCCTCGATGAGAGCGGGATTTCCGGCGGTGGCGGCGTCGGTAGCGCGGGAGGAGGGGACGAGAGCGGCACCAGGGGAACCGGCGGCAAGCGTGCAAAGAAGGGCGGCTTCATGTGCTGTTCCTGCCTCCAGGTTGGTGGGATATTCAAGGTTTTATGAGAGAGAGTGCCGCTTTGGTGTACCGTATACGACATGACGCAAGATAACACACCCCTGGACCGGTTTTCAAAGCTCGACTACTCCACGACGAAGAGGATTCATGAATGAAACGATTGGTTTTCGGAAAGCTCTCGACCAGACTGCTTCAACGCCACCGTTTTCGGCGCTGTGATCCTCCTGCTGTTGAGAAATCGAGATTCGAAAATCGCTCCACAGGGGGTGTGTTGTCTTGTGTCGTATTCGGTATGCGCTTTTTGTGGTGTGGTAGTTCCCATCGAGCACTCAAACGGGCTGGCCAATGAAACAGTAGTCTACGCAGGTTTTTCTAAGTAAACAAACATACTGGAATAGAATCGGCTAAGTTAGGGTAAGGGTTAAGTAAGCAAACATATGTAGAATGGGCTAAGTTAGGGTAGGGGTTATGTAAGCAAATATATTGGATAAAGCGTAGAATCGGCTAAGATAGGGGTAGGGTTGAGTAATCAAACATATTGGATAAAGTGCAGAATCGGCTAAGTTAGGGTAAGGGTTCAGTAAGCAAACATACTGGATAAAGTGTAGAATCGACGAAGTAAGGGTTAGGGTTAGGGTCTGCTTACCCCCTACCTGGCATTTTTTCGTGTTAAAACCTTACTTTCTTTGCGTAGGCAGTCTCAATGAAATGCACCAACCTGGTCACCTGAAAACGCTGGAACGGGTTCATATCGCGGGGCCCCCTCGAAGGGGGCGTGCGGAGGGGACTGGAAATAATATCCAGGTCTTCTTGTTGTGCATGTAGTGTAATCGTTTGTTCATCCACAGGTCTCTCTTATATGCTTTTACGCGATGTCGTCCGCTGCTGCGTTAACCCATCGGTGTCTCATGTTCAGGTCCTGCTCTTGGTCCTCATCCCTCTCGTCGCGCTGCTGCTCTTTGCGCCGGAGCCCGAAGTCGCCACCGGGACAGCACTCACAGATCACGTGAGCACGTCGGGCGTGTTGTTGTGGGTGTAGAGGAAGCTCAGAGCGCGTTGTACTCGGCCCTCCTATTATATGCCGCGCCAGGGCTGTTCGGTGTTGTGCAGGGCGCTATGGAGGGCTTGCGCACCCGATGTCCTACTCATATCAGCAGAGTGCAGGATAAGGTTTCGAGAGATGTGTGAGATGTAGACGAACTGTTTTGCACCTTTGTTTTTTGTTTTTTCCAACATCGAAGGTTGCGTCCTCTCTGTCCTGGAAATGGGCAGACATGGCTGATTTTTGTACGTAATTTACATATATTTATTTTTTGAAAGTTGATGCTTGCTGTACCGTTTTCTTCGTGCAGAGAAAACCCGTAAGAAATCTCTCGGGCGAATGTTCGAAGTGTGTACCCTTTTTGGGTCGAAATTGGCCTTTGACAACGGACGGCGTCCGCTTCATCTGGGCCCGCAAAGGTACTCGCCAGAGACCGCAACGGGTTTTGCTGCGATGGCCACAACAGCAACAGCAACAACAACAACGACGATAACAACAACAACAACAACAATAACACCACCAAAACTTATCACCAAACCAACTCCACCACCAACGCCTTCTCTTGGGTGCGTATTTCTTTCTCGTTGTTCCTGCGCTTTCTTAGGCCGCTAGAGCGCGGCGCTTCCTGGCAACCACCGCGAGGAGCCTGCAAGGGACGGGCCAAGCTCCCAACGGGGAGGAGGATGACGACGACTACCGCTATCGGGACAAGTCCGAAGAAGCGCAAGCGCTGTACCGCGGAACCGTCCACTGAAGAAATGAAGGGGAAAATGTTTGTCGTCAGCGGGGATCGTTACCGGAACCGGTACCGGAGAATTGGCTACCGTAGGTTGCATAAGGTATCACACACCCTGGACCGATTTTCAAAGCTCGCGATCTTGGCAGGAAAAAAAGTTACGGTGCCGAAAATGGCGGGAGGCGTTAGAACCGTCTCGTCGAGAGCTTTCCGAAAACGAATACTTCAATTTCAGCATCGTCTTCGTCGTGGAGTAATCGTGCTTTGAAAATCGGTCCAGGGGGTGTGTTATCTTACGCAACCTACGGTACCCTGAGGACGGGCATCGGGGTTGAAAGTACAGTAAGCGCCCCGAACTTGAGAAGCTCTAGTTTTGGCCGAGGCGGGTTTTTAACTTCCTATTGTGGCCCATACAATTGGCCGTTATATAGGTTTGTAGTGTAGGGGTGCTTAAGCGAGCTCGCACATGGTGCTCAAGTTCTTGTTTTTTGAGTTTTTCGAGGCTACAGTGGTATTGGTCCTGGAGCTCGATTCAGCACATTGTTATAGGATTCAGATGTGTAGACGGAACATAGAAGAGCTTGGTTCCTTCTTGAAGGCGCGGAGAGATGTAACTCTCCGCGGAAGGATAAAAAGCAGGGGACAGGATCTAGTAGCCCCTGCTTGTGCAGAGGATCCTGTGCCCCTTGGTGTCATTCCTACCGATACCCAAGGCAACAGCTACTGCTGCTGCTGTTCTGCAAGAGTAATAACAAGTGAGTTCTTCAACACGGGTCAACCAGACTTCATCACGCGTGCATACCACTACAACATCTTGATTTTTTTCTCGGTCTGGCCCGTCATCAAACCCAACAAATTATATATCAAATGAAAGCTACGGACCATAGCTTTCGAATGCAGCTATTTTCATATTTCACAACATACCTACCTCGCGACTTATGTCTATCTGAAGTTGGGTAGGAGAGCGCGGCGGGGATGCAAAATGGCTATTTGCGGGACCCCGAGGTGGGTTGTGAAAAAAAAAAATCGTGTTTTTGGAATCCTCGTGAAAAACTGGTTAGAGGACGTGTGTTCCGAAACGCAACAATGCCGGGCCAGAACCCGAAAAAAATCAAGATGTAAAATTCAAAAATTGTGCATGTGGACCAGCTGATGTGGACACACTGCTGGGTTGTGCGGGACGGAGAACACGAAAGATATGGACTTCGATGATGAGGACTCACAGGAGTACAGAGACGTGCAGAGCACCCTTCCGGACGGATACACCATTCGCAAGGTCGCTATCGACAGGAAAACCGCGCGCAAGTACCGTCTCACAATAGCCGTTACCTCTGCTGGTGATGCGGACCGGCTGAAGTGGCGCAGCCGATGGATCACAAAGGGGAAACCGCGTGCGCGGCTGGCTTCTGCCGAGCGTGAGTGCATCGATGAGCTGTTGCTTTTGACATGGTTGGGCCTTCAGGCAATGAGCGCTACTGCTGAGGGTGTGCCAAGCGCACCTCCGCGCGACGGCATGCTGCGAGATGCAGCCCCAGAACCTGGTTCTCTCAAAGAACCTGGAGTTGGAGGCACACGGAAGAGGCCGCGCAACGCATGTTGGGGTGGCACCAGAGAGGGCGCTGGACGGATGAAGGGGAGCGTCGGCAAGAGGGCCGCACGGGAGCGAGCTATGTAGACTATGTCAATTTCTTATTGCCGGCCAAGTGTTGTAGTGCGGGGGGTGCTAACTGTACCCCGAATGCTGTTCGGGCAAGGTTTGGCGGTCGTTCTTGATCTCTCGCTTGCTCGTGGAGATTTGACGTGCACAGCGGCACCGCCCTTCTCGTAGGAAACCCAGCCAGTCAGGCTCACAGCCTGCTCATGTGTTTTCTGGCGGGGTCGTAAGTCAGGCTCGCGGCCTGATGTGTTTTCTGGCGGGATCTTAAGTCAGGCTCGCGGCCTGATGTGTTTTCTGGTGAGGTCTTAAGTCAGGCTCACAGCCCGACGTTTTCTGGTGAGGTCTGAAGTCCTCTACAGCAGTAGCATGGGGAAGGCACGTGCGCGGTACGTCTCAACGTTGGTGCGCGCTTTCGTCGCACTCGTGATTTGGCTTTGTTAGCGGGTTCACCCGTTGGCTTTGCACTACAGGCCACCGAGATCGGTGCAAATGGTTGCTGTTTACCCCTCGATACCGACTGATGATTTTCTCTTCGTGGATCGTGTATCGGATACGTAGCACATGTTTCTTCTGTTTCGTCGACTACAAACGTCAGATTTTGAGATACCACGTGGTGGTTCGTGCTTGGCAAAAAGTAGGTTGTCGATTAACGGTAAGTGCACCATGGCCGTGTTTGCATAACTCGGTCACCACCAGTGCTTGGAAAGTGAGATGAGTATGTCTCTAGACAGCACAACGAAACCAAGGATCATGGGCTCCTTCCCGTTACACCACCTTTCGTGTTTTTTGCGAACGATCGAGGTTGGTTCTATTTTGCCCCATTTCATCTCCCTGCCCGGGTTTTTCGGTGTTTGGTTGGACGGATGGGATCGTGATGCTTTTTCTCCTTCAATATCCGTGCCGTGCACTCTGGACGCTAGCCAGTTTAGGGGAGGTCTAGGTCACACGGAACGACTACCCTGTTGTGCCTCCAACCAACAATTGTCGCGGCAGAGTTTCAGCGATCCTTCCTTGTTGGTTCTGTCTTCGAATCGCATTTCGTTGAACTCCCACAAAATCGTTTCAGCCGTCCCGCGCGGAAGAAACATCGCGGGGTTTCAGACATCGCCGAGAGGTAGGAGTTCCCCAGTTTGCGGCTCAAGCTGTTCGCTCACGGTGGTAGTGATCTGACATATTTCTCCTCGACGACTACGGGCTTCAAATAAAACGGGTCTGCTCTCTTCCTTCGGCTACGGCTGCTGCTGCAACAAAGAAAGGTCCAACGTTAAAAAAACACAAATGCATGAATGGAAATTGCGCCCCGCCCACACTCATCAGGTTCACGCGGGCCCTCCAAGGGGGGCTGCGGACGAAGACATTAACACGCACAAGCTACATCTTTGATGTGTGAAAAACACCACCAGGTCATGAAACTTACTTAATAAATATGCGCTTTGTGTGCACTACGCACCCACTACATAAACTTGCGACACACAGCAGAGGGTGTGCCCGTCCGCCCAAAGTAACCCATCGGTGCAACCAAGACACGTACGCCCGTTGCCGCCTCGCGGGACACAAGAACCATGCCCACCTTCATGGTGTGACCCAAAACACACCCAACGCTAATAGGAACCCAGGGGCGGCAAATTTAGCGACCTGGTCAACAACCAACAACACCCGCAGTTTCGAAGACAGTCTAGAGCGAGAGGGGGGGGGGAGAGAGAGCCTTCGCGAGGGCGAGAGGGCGAGAGAGAGAGACTCCGCCTTTTTCTTCCTCTTCCGCATACAGCTATCTCAGGAAACGCCGCCGCTCAAGCCCCTTCTCAGACGCTCTCGATCGATCGGGTTCAGCGCTCTGGCGGCCAGCAACAGCGCCATCACCGGCAGCGAGACCGTCGCACGCCACCCCCGAAAACACCCTGCTAGCGGCGGCGCGTGCGTCCCCGACGGACAAAACGGGCGCCTCGATGGTAGCATACACTTCATGCCCAAGGCGGCTTCTACCGCCGCCGCCGCCGCTCTCCCCAGCAAGCCGCCTCCCGATCACCCACCGGTTCCCTTTCGACATGGACGTTCGGATGCCGATCTCCCGGGCAGCGGGCGAAGCGGCGCTCCTCCCGGTTCCGCCGCCGTCTCCTCTGGTCAAGCAGGCGTGAACCTCGTCCAGCACGGACAGCTCCTGCTCTCCCCCGGCGCCTCTCCTTCTCATCGCCTCCACTCCGAGGTCGGGTCTGCCCTGCCGCCCGAACGCGTCCAGCAGGGGGCCGACATCGCCGCCGGCGCTCCCGTTGCCTCCACCATCCCCCCCGCATACACCGGACTCCTTTCGACCCCCGAATAGCAACAACGCGCTGCTGCCGCCGCCGCCGCTGCTGCTAACGTCGGCAGCTAGTCTTCCGACGACGGGGCCTTCACCAGATGACCCCGAGACACTGAGGCGGTTGTCGTCCTCAGCGCCCGCGGAGTCGTCGCCCGCCCCCACCGGCAAGCCGGAGCCGCCAAGCTGAGCGGCGGGTGCGGGGGCGGGGGGGTGGCGCACGATCCCGGTCCCGGAGAAGCAAGGGAGAGGGGAGTCCTGGTGGTGGACAGTCCGCACCGGCCCCGATCTGCGAGACTGCTGGCGTCTCCGCGGGTGGCCGCCGCTACCCGACCGTGCGTCGTTGCCGCCGGCGTCTTCGCCCGCCGTCAACAGCTGGAAGTAGAAATCACCGACGTCGTCCTCTAGCACGGTGAGATCGGGGTCTTCCGACAAGCTCGTCTCTATGGCTCGTCCCAGAGAGAGCAACTGCGTGCGCCGATGGGCCCGTTGAACACACGTTTGGGGTGGAGGGGGGTGTTGGTGCTTACCTTAAACGTAACTCGACCGTTGGCTAAGTGCACCTCTCGAGACAGGGCTGGTTGGTGGTGGTCGGGATTCAAAATAGGACTGATATACACACGTCTCGTGGTGTGCACTTAGATGCACCTGGGCGGATGATTGGGAACTACGGACGCACCTGCAGTTCACTCCACCCGCCGGCCCCCGCCCGCTCATCGTCGGCTGGCCAGCTAAAGCGCGGTTCATCCGAGCCGTGTGCCGCCCCCTGGTCTAGTCGCGGCTGTCCGACTTCCCCTTGTGCGTCATCGCCCGTTGCCACCTCCTCCCCGCCAGCAGCACCACCAGTGCCATCGCACCGTCGCTCTCGTTCACGGAAGGCCACGAGGGCGCACAGCCCGCCCCGCACGTAGGCCACAGCTCGCCGTCTCCGCCGTCTCTGGAAGGAGTTTCCATCTCGACCGGTAAAAGAACCCGCATCGGCAGACGCCGCCGCCGCCGCTGACGTCGCCGCCGGTGGTGTGCTGCCTCGTGCCGCAAACGCCTTTTCGTTTCTTGGATTGTCTCGTGTGATCCCAGGGCGTTCAGCAACACCGTAGTGGAGTTCGGGGGCCCAGATGGCACAATCTGGAGGGAGAGAGAGAACCAAAAACGGGCCGGGGGGGGGGATGGGGTGGGCAGTAACGTTTTCAAGTCGCGTGGGTCAAGCAGCCGGCCAAAAGGGTGAGCGGTAGCACAAAGAAAAAGCCAGGCACGAACTCCGAAAGCAGAATGACAAGTCGTTAGCAGCTGCATCCCCGCTATCCCCCGCCCATCTTTGTAGCCGGAGCAACGTGGTCTTTCCAGCGGCAGGGAGGTATTGTGTGCGTGCAACCACCACCACAACAGAGGGTCAGAGCTTGATTCTTGCCGCGGCGTCCTTTCGACATCACCGGTCGGGAGAGTGGCGTGCGCCGGCTCCGGCACGCAGCCACCCCCGGTTGCACACGGTGTCCGAAGTATCTGATTCTTGTGGCTCATCACTCCCCCACACCCCTCCGACTGGCACCCGCGATACAAACCGGAAACCCAAAGAACTGCCAAAAACAATGTAAAGAGCCCGGGATTTTTCGCCCCGCACGTGGCGCATGAGAGCTGGTTTAAGTGACAAAAAAAAAAAAAGTTAGTACTGCTGTGATGAGTCTTCGGGGTCATCACCCACTAGCAAGTAGTACCAAAGGCCACCCGAATACACAGAGCGTTCAGGTAGAAGAAAGAAGACACGTCGCGGTGGATTAGGTATGTAATATTCATCCATGTTCCTTTGCGGTGGGTTTCGAAGCTCTTGCCAACTCTCCCTACACACAAGACCACAACGATAGTTTTCCCCACCGAGCCCAGAAACCCGTTCCGCAGGGGTAACGAGAGAACATTGCTGGAAAAATCCGCGAAGCTCTGGTTCACGAGACCACCGAGTTTCTTGTCGGAACGATGAAGAGTGCTTGTTGGTGCGGAACTGGACCTTCGGCAAAATCGCAAAACCACCACCGATAGGGCCGACAGTCAGGTAGCTTGAGAACGATGCGTCAGGTCCTGCAAGTTCGGCCGCCCATTACCACCAACCCCTCGGCATTACCATAAAACATCCGCATCACCGTAAACCAGAGGCACTGATCTTTTTTCCAACGCCACTATCTACAGCCGCACTTTGGGTACGGCTTTGTGCGAAAGCGCATCTTCTCAGGCCAGTTATCCAAGCGTACTCGCGACAGGAGACAACGTCGACTGTTTACCCGCGAATACCGTAGGTCACAGAAGATAGAACATCCCCCCTGGACCAATTTTCAAAGCTCGGAGTACTCTCCCGCAAACGATGTGCCGAAAAAATGGTGGCGCTCGAACCGTCTCGTCGAGGGCGTTCCGAAAACGTGACACATGTCACCATTGGATTTTGGTGGCATCGTTGCTGCCGAGTAGTGAGGGCTTTGAAAATTGGTCCAGGGTGTGTGTGTGGTATCTTCTGTGACCTACGGTACCCCCTTCCCTTCGTCTCCGCAGACCGCCTTACCGAGAATATGTTTACCAATCCATGGAAAACAGAGGGGGAGTTCGTATCCCTATCCCTAACCCTAACCCCCTACTAAAACCAACATGTATCCTCGGGAAGGCTACAGTTCGTCGTCTGGAACTATTCAAGTCTTACCGCCGGTGTCACCACCATACCGCAGCACGGAAGCTTCGGCGCAAGACGCCAGGCTCCCGTCGCGACGCAACAGGCCTCCTGCCCCGGTAGCCGGCGGCGGCCGTGCTGGTCGCACCCCGCCGCCGCCGCCGCCGCCGCCGCCGCTCCCCTTCACGCCAGCATCGTTGTCGTCGTCATCGTTGCTAGAGATGCCGCTCCGGAAGGCGGCCCAAAGAGACATCGGCGGGCCCTGGGGGACAGGGCCGGGTTGGGCGGCGATAGAGAGAAAAAATCGAGCATGAGATAGTTTGTCGACATCTGTAAGAAAGCGCATAGACCAAAGTCGTGTTACTTTGCGTTCTGGCGAGACAACGTGCAATACAGTAAGCAGGCAGGACAGCTGGTCTCCCATCACAAAGTGTCTCCACGCCTCGCCCCTTGCTCTCTCTCTGCTAGGTTCTCTCCCTCCCCCTCTTCCTCTGGTTTTAGTCAATATAAACCTTCGAACAAAACAACAAGTGTGGTCCCTCAACCTCGCTGCTTCGCCCGCCCCCACCTACAACCCCACACACATGGCCGCACAAGCACCCACCCCCTCCGCGGACCTCGTTGGCACAATACTGCGGACCGCAAAAAACGAGCGGCCTCGGTACATTGAAACTGCCGCAGTCTGCAAAAAAACGAAATGGTCTCGGTACATGCCACAAACAAAAATCTCGCCGTCCCGCCCACCCACCTCTTCCTCGCCGCCCTCCTCCTTACCGCCGTCCTCCTCGCCCAACAACGGGGACGCCGCCGCCGCCGCCGCCGCCCCCGACGGCCCGGCGACGCTTCCTTCTTGCGCCCTCCCGGTCTCCGCGGCGGTGAGAGCGGCGGCGTGCAGGTACCCCACCAACAGCAACGCCTCCTTGCCCGACAGGACGGCTCCTCCGCCCGACTGCTGCTGCTGGGGCTTGCCTCGAGATTCGTCGCCTCCCGTTTCCCCGGGAGTCTGCTTCTCGGAGCCGGCGCTTGCTGCGTCCCGGCCGAGAATGTTTTCGACAGTTTCTTTTCCGCCGGTGCCTCCGCCGCTGGCCTTGTCGACGCCGCCGTTCGTCTGTCTCTCTTCCTTGCAACCGTTTCTCGTCGAGGAGTTCACGCCGGCGGTGCTGTTTTGCCCAAGGATGGCCGCCGCAACCGGCTGCGGGTCTTTGCATGCCAACAGAAGCGCTCCGCCGGCTAGAGTCATAGCGAAGTCTACCTCGACGTCGATGCCACCGCCGAGAAGGAGGGAGCGGATGCGTTGCCGCACGCGGCGTTGAATGCGAAGGCCCAGCTGCCGCCGGTAAGGGTCCTGGCGAGCACCGTCAAGGGAACAGGGGTCGAAAAAATGAACGAAGACACACGCACGGCATCCGTTCTTGTACTGTCGTCCCAGTCACAAAAAAAGGATGCGACACGATCACTGACGGCACAACCCCCAACACAATGTAGATTCGACTTCTCTCGGGCTTGGGTGGGACAAGGGTTAAAAAATAGCAACCCTAGCGTTAACGTTATCCCTAACGAACCAATACGAACGAGCTTCCGAGCCACGTAGATGCGGTTTCTTTCGGGCAGGATAAGGCTTAACACCAACAACCCTAGGGGTAACGCCAACCCTAACGAACCAACCCGAATGGAGTTCCTATCTAGTCCTAAGCTTGAGTACCGTTCGAGGATACAGCATCCTTCCTGTTCTCCTCTTTCCGTCTCCCCGGTTCTGCCTCTTGGATCCAACACAGGCCCCTCTTGCCGCGCATTATGGCAGGGATGTAATGAAGTCTACGGCGTACCGACTTTGTGCGGCATGCATGGCCACGGGCACACCTATCCCATCTCCCTCGACGTGTCAAAAAGCCGCAAATCCACGAAAAGGTCGTATGGGAAACGCAAAATAATTCCATAAAAATAAAGTACAAAAGGAAGGTGCGATGTACCATTGGCAGCGATTGGGGATATCCCATGTCGAGGTGGAAGTGGGGCTCCGCTAGGCCCGCTCCCGGGAGATAGCTCGAGAAGAAGTCTTCCAAGGTTTCCTGCGATGCCGCCGTGCGCGTCGATCGGAGGGGCAAGGGGAGGTGCTTTCTTGTCGCTGCTGTTGTTGTTGTTGTTGTTGTTGTTGTTGTTGGTTTTGTTGTCAACTGTGGAGACCGTCGTTGCTGGGATCTTAGGAGTAGGGGTGGGGATAGGAGCCTCGCTAATGTACGGGACACGGTCACACTGGGGCCACCCGCCCGTAACACTCTTCTGACAATGCTTTGCTTGTCTTCGGTTTTTGTGTGTTAGCTTGCATGGTGGTGGCTCTTCTTTTTTTCGGGCGTTGGCGGGTTGTGGCGTCGATGAAATGAGCGAGATTGTTCGTGTGTGTGTGTGTGTGTGTGTGTGTGTGTGCCGCGAGCGCCGGCCATTGTTTAATTTCCGATCGCATTGGTCCGTTCGTTGAGGATGCCGCTACTGCTGTCATGTTAAGATGAAATATTCGTTTCCGCATCGTTGACAGTTAGTTATTGGAAGTGGCGGTTGCAAGCGAGGACGACGCCATGTGCGTGTTGCATGTGTTCTTTACCTTTTCGGCACACATTCGACACATTGGCCGGTGTCACACAGGCAGAAGGTATAGGACACAGCAGCAGTAGTGACTTTAGGGTTTTATTGTCCCATCTTCCCTAAGAGTGCTTGCCTTCCACTCTTAACGCGAGAAGGGTTCACAGTAGTCCCTTCCCTCTTGTTGTGCATCCTCATATTCCAAAACAAACGGAAAATTCGGTGCGCTGCAGCGACTCAACACTCGAACACAGATACTAATGCACTTTGCTCTCTTGATGATACCTCGCTCTCACCCTCAGAAACTCAGCTGGGGAGGCTCGCAGTAACACCGCCACCTCCCGCTCCTCCAGCCTGACGCGGCTCTCTAGCAACTCCTGGCGGAGCGATTCCACGGAGCCCCCCTCTTCGCCGATCTCTCCCACCTCCCCTGAACAAGCGGCGTGTTCTGCCAGATCCAGCGCCTGGTAAGCCACCCAATCAAGGGAGTTTACAGCCGGGGGGACAAGGCGCGGTTGCTGTTGCAGTTGTTGTTGGTATATTTCAAAGTTTTCCGAAGAGCCAGGATAAGAATCTGAGGGCGGACAGCCGAGGGCACAAGACGCTGTAGCTGCTCTGTGTTGTCGTTGTTTTTAGTGTCTCAGAGTAGCCCTTCCAGGAATTTAGCGCGTGGCCACCAAACGCGCCGGGGCTTCACATGGGAGGACATGTGTGCTAGTGGGGGGGACACACTCGGCATTTTCTTGTAAACAACTAAACACAATCAGCCCGCGCACGACCTCACCTTCTTCTTAGCCTTCCGCAGTCGCTTTCGGGCGGAGGCAAGCCTCCGAAGCACTTCCAACCCGGGGACGGTGATATCGCCTCCCCCCCCCACGCCCTCCCCCGACGGCGGCGGCGGCAACGCCGCCGGGGCGTCGAGGGCCGAAGACACCGGCCCGTGCATCAACGCCAAGGTCTGGTACGCCGTCCCCATCGCCGCATGTAGCGCCGTCTCGTCCACCCAGTCGCCGGACCCGCCGCCACCTCCTCCAGCCCTATCATTCCTGACCGACCGCGCGGCAGCAGGAGAAGAAGGCGAACGGTCGCGTGCCGCCGGAGAGGGCGACCGGACGGCGGCATCGACGCGATGATCAGCCCTGCTCCCGTGGCCTCGCGGGTCGGTCGTCGCTGACGGAGGGGAAATGCCGATGCCCCGGCCGAAGACAGCGGAGCGGAGCAGGCTTCGGGTGGAGGGGCGTGAGGCCTTCGGGTTTCCTGTAGCAGGCGGCGATCGAGGCGGCGGGGACATCGGCAGGGTTAAACGTTGCCGTTAGTGGTGTTGCGGCGTTCTGACAGTCGCCGCTTTCATAACAACAACCGGTTTCGACGTGCAAGGAAAGATGTTTCAACAACAACAACACGACACACCAGCCGGAGTCTCAAAAGTCCCTGCATCGCAACATAAACAGCAGGATCGAGTTGACCGATGTTTCAAGCTTTGGGAATGGAGGCTTCGGGACAGCGGAGCACACGGCGCGGGGCGAGCGGGAAAGTTGTCAAGTACATGTACGGGCGTGTAGAAGCAATTGACATTCGGATGTGCAACAACCGAAGGCGGCGCCACACGTCAACAACGGTCCCCCCGGCTAGCCGGGAAGCTGAATCAACCCATGGCACAACTGGTGTGGCACAGCATCCGCATGGGTGCTTGCACCAGCTTCTGGTTCATCCTTGTGATGTGATAGCCTGGGCCGGCGAAAACCCGGCATATCGCTGCGTCCCGGTATTGTAGAGATGCGAGGTCAATGCTCTAACGACTACGGCATGCACGGCTATGGGCACCCCCCGCTCCCCCCTCCCTCTTTTTCCGTCTCTCACCAGCGTCCTCCGGCTGCTGCTCCTGTCGCCGCCGGCTGACCATTACCATCACCAGCCACACCCCTGGCTCGCACTCCAAGAAGCCGTGGCAATGCTGCCTGGTGCGCACCACCTCGACCTTCCCCGACGGCACGCCAGGCCACTCCCTCGATTCCTCTTCGCCGCCGTCACCGCCGCCGGCAGCGGCACCATTTTCTGTGAAGTCACCAGAGACACCAGATACGGGAGGTTGACTGTTTTTGTTATTGTCAGTACATAAGAACCGTTCCGGTCTGCGCTCAGTACCTTCATACATTCGTACTGGTTTCAGCTGACGAGGATGCCTTCCGCGGTCACAGGCCAATTACCCAATAGACGGGTGCACCTTTCTAGCAATCAAAGAAACGGAAAACAAACGGACACAGTAAAAAATCCGGGGTATCTCCAAATGGTGTGAGTTCGGGACAGCTGCAAGGGTTTGGAATTGGAAAAAGCAACAAATGCGAGGGACAAGCGCCAGGACGCGGCGGCTGCGGGGCCTGTTGGGAGTTGGCGTGGGAGTGAAATCGTAAGGAGGCGTGTTGGGTGTGGGAGCCGGCAGCACAAGACTACTCCGAAGCCAGATCGCGGGAAAGAGTCGAAAACCAAGTACCAGTGGTACATGACAAGGCGAGAGGTTTTCGTGGAACGCACGACATGAGGCGCACATGCACCTGAGCGACTGATTTCGAGCGTTGAAACAAGATGCATGCATGCCCGGCCTTTCGAACTAGCACGAAACCATCCAGTGGTGTGCATCCCTTACCGTGCCGTCTCCGCCGTCTCCGCCGCCGCTGCTGCTGCTGGTGGCGATGGTGAAAGCGGTCACCGAAGGCGAGTAGGGCCTGCGCCAGACCAACGTGCTTCACGCGCTCCGGGCGCGACGCCTCGGCGGGATAGTACCTGTTGTTGTTGTGGTTGTTGTTGTTGTGTTTCTTGTTTTTTCCATCAACAAACGTCATCACCCCTGCTGTGTACTACCAGGTGCCAGTGCCGTTCATCTCCAATTCCCGTCGCAGGGCTGTTTCGTACATATGGTCAAACAGGGTACACGCAACACACAAGAATACGAACTACCAACTCCTGCGTTTCTCCTTTGTTCCGTTGACAAGGGCGCGGATTTCTATTCTTTGCGATACACGACGAAGTTTACCATAGGCAGCTGACCGACAGCACCGGTGTATTGTAGACTACAGCCGTAGGTAAATTAGGGTTAAAAGGGGCTCCTACTGGATTGTGCGATGTCCAGTTGCACCGCCGTAGGTTCTAAGTTCTACACACAGGAGAAAGTCCTGTCCAATGCGCATTCAGAGACTGGACTCGTGTTGCTGCAGAGAGAGAAAAATAGAAAACGAAAGGCTAACCTCGATGCGCCTCTACTGTGTTACATACATATGTCGTGATCCCTGCGTGATGAGCTTAATAGCAGTACGGCAGACTTCGGGTAGCTGCATATACACAACCATGTTTTGAAAACCACGTCTTTTGCTTTCGCGCACCAGAGTACATGCTCCAGCGCTTCATCCAGCGTGGCTCCTTCGTCTTGAGTGGCCAGATCCTCGTGAAAGAGGAAGGCGCGCGCTATCCGCTCCATGCCCAGCAACCTCTCCTGCAACGGAGCACGTGCCGCTGTGCGTGCGGCGTGTTTTGAACGTCACGCAGAATCATGGGGGGGGGGTATTATATTCGGGGGATACGTGAATGATACACGGTGCCCCGACCTTTTTTTTTTTATGCGCGCGTCTCCCTCTTTCATCATCCGGACGCAGCAAATCCGCGATCCGCGCTTTGCTGCGGCATCCGCGACAGGCAGCTTGGTCAGTGGCTGCTTGGATACGGCGGGGACCTTTTTCCATCCCTCTGTCGCCGAGAGAGGAAGCAAGGCGAAACAGAGAGAGAGAGACAGAGACAGAGTTAGAAAAATTGTATACACGTCAGTGAAAAGGCGAAGTAACCACGCGGCACGGACCAAGACCAGAAAAACAAAAGGCAGAGAGCGCGAACCCTCTCTCGCCAAACAAGGCCAACTTTTTTTAAATTTTGTGCGCCGACGCCCCGGGCATGCGCCGTAGCTCGAGGGAGAGGCGTGCGGCGGCGGCAGCGGCCGCGGCGGCGGCCGCGGCGGCGGAGGACGCGCCAGCACCAAGCAGCGTGCGTACTACCAACAACAATAACCGCCGAGAGACCAACAACAACACTGACGATGTGGGTTCTGGTCATGCGAGGCGCGGGAGCAGAGGCAGCGGCGGCGGCGGCGGCGGCGCTGGATCTCGCCGGGGCGGCAGGAAGAGCGGGACCAGGTCGCCGGCGCCGTCGGCGGGCGGCCGGCGCGGGGCCGGGGGAAGCAGCAACGCCGACGACGACTCGGAGAGCTCCAACGAATC